TACATCCACTCACGATCCTCCATCTGATGTATTTTCATTGACCAAGTAGTTTCATCCAGTATTAGTTCAATTAATTACAATTATTCATGTTTTACGGCATGAACTCAAACTATCTAATAGTTAAGGATAGGTCCTAATCCCACCCGAGGATGTGTAGGTGGCTTCATTTTCATGCACTACTCCGATCCACACAGAATTTCGGCAGCACCTCCCCGCTGTTCTCCAAATACACGTCTCGGCAACAAGCCGAGAGAATGTGCATTCAGAGAATAATGGGAAGACGCTGCCGAAATCCTGTATCGGATCGGAGTAGATCATAAAAATGAAGCCAACCTACACATCCTCGGGCTGTCCGTGGAAAACGCTGGACAATTCGAAAGAGTTACTATTATAAATATACAAAGATTGCATATTTATAAATAATGTAACTCTTTCGAACGGGAGACGCATAGGTAACGCGACTAGCTAGCTACATGATTTACATATACATAAATCCTATGAGGCGAATGATTCTTACCCTCGAAGCGTGTTCGGTGCCGGTCGTCCGTCCAGCAAGAAGCTCTGCGACAACGGTCTCGACGTAAAACTAATGCATGTGCTGCAATAAAGTGAAAATTGGGATCAAACATAATCCACATGCAAACTTGCAAATTGGGACTAAACATAATTCACATGCAGAATAGGTGCTCTACCCACTCCTTTTGTATTTACAGTGACAACACTTGTATTTCCATAACAAAAACAAATATGTGCTCTGGCCACTCCTTTCTAATATACCATGTTAAAGCTTTCAAATATAAAACAAAAATGCTTCTTTTATCATGAAAGCTCTTCACAAGGGATTACATGCTGCATCTCATACACTTTGCTGTGTCCTTCACGATTGCATTCAAATAAATTTGCAAACTATCGAAGTGCTTGTCTTAATCAGTGGACATGCATACAATTTTTTTTGGCAAGATGAGAAGGTTTGTAATTTGTAGGGATATATGAATCTGAGATTCCATCATTTGAGAAGGTTCACAGAAGAAAAATCGATCTGCCTGCTGTTGTTGGGGGAGAGGGGGAACCAAGACCTGTTGTTGTTTCTTCTCGACTCCCTGAAGATGCAATTGGGGGAGGGACGGAACCAAGACCTGCCTGCAGTTTTTGTCGCAAACGCGGAGGGGACACCTTGCCGCCGAAGCAGCCGGACCTGCTG